TCCATTTAGAAGAAATGTATTGTCCTTACTTAAAAGAATATTTTGTGAAAGCATTTCTAGCCCCAAGACTAGGTTACTTTGCATATGAGAACTTGTGTTAGTTCTAAAGTTTACTTGTGTGTTCCTAAATACTGTCACTCTGGCACCTTCTGTGCACAAGAAATTCTATGATCCAATGAGATTAAAAAGTTTCCCCTCGAGCCCAGAACCAGTGGCTCTTGCAAGTAATCCTATTTATTCAGGAAGATAAAATCTGAGGAACGTGGTTCAAAGCTAGTCCAAGAAGACTAACCTGGGAGAGTGTTATCTCCAATTAATGAGCAAAAAGCCAGAAGCAGAGGTATAGTTCATGTGATAGAGTGCCAGCCTTGAATGTAAAAGCCAGGGAGAACATGAGGACCTGAATTCAAGCCCCAGAATTAGTGCAAATAAACAAACAAAAAACAAAAATTATTTACAAAAAAAGAAGTAGCCTCTGTAAGTTTTTCATAGGTGTGGAGTTTGTGCTATATGTTTGGACATATGTTAAACAATGTCAATGTTGTAGTAACAGATAACATATGACTCCTTATCAGCCTCAGGATGGTATGTTTATGGAAGATGCTTGTTCAGTTAGGGAGGAAGTGAGTGGAGAATCTGATGTTCAAATGCCCATATAACTCAAATGTGCTCTCAATTGTCCACAGACATAAAATTTCTACCTGATAGTAAATTGGGATATTGTGTAAGAATGCTAAGTATTTTCCATGTTACAACTTTAATAATTCACCTTCTTTACCCCATTTCACCCCTCCAGAAAGGACAAATTCTTGTTGCATAGCAAAACTCTAAATAAGCACTTATCTTTCAAGAACCACTAAGCAGTTTATTGTTCATGGTCCACATTGTACCCCAGAGACGGGAAAGGTTATCTTACATATTAAACAAAATTGTAATGATGGCACCTAACCAAAGAAATTGGTTCTCAAGATTTTATACTTTATATAAAAGTGTACAGCTATAAAAAATCCAACACTTTCATGAATTTTATAAGCTCCATTGTGTATGCATGCCACATTTCTTTGTCTATTCATCTGTCGATAGACATCTTAGTTGATTCCATATCTTGAATATTGTAAATAGTGCTGTAATTAGCATGGGGTATTTGTTATAATAAACAATGTTATCTCCTTGATACACTGATCTTTATTTTCATTAGATATAAAACGGTAGTGGGATAAATGGTGGTTTAAAATTTCATAGACTCCAATTCTTAGGAAAAAAAATCATGGCTGGGTATTGACAGCTGAGATATGAGGATTGTGATTTAAAACCAGCTCAAGTAGAAAGGTTGGTGAGGCTCATTTCTAATAAACGCCCCAAAACAAGAAGTAGAATTATGGCTCAGGAGAAAAAGCTAAGGAACAGTACCTAAGCCCTGAGTTCAAGCTCCAGTACTCACATAAGAAAGAAGGAGAAAAAGGAAGGAAAAGTGGAAGGACGAAAGGAAGGAAGGAAGGAAGGAAGGAAGGAAGGAAGGAAGGAAGGAAGGAAGGAAGGAAGGAAGGAAGGAAGGGAAGGGAAGGGAAGGGAAGGGAGGAAGGGACAAAGGAAAAACATAATAATATGACCAAATGTAATACAGGCATGTGAGACAATTGCATGCACTTTCATGCAGGCCTTATTGGTAAAAATTAGCCTTAGGTAACATAGCAGAAAGGCAGAAATTTAATAGAAACTCATTCTGATAGTATAATATATTCTTAAACAGCATACAAAATTTAGGTTTTAGTCTTCCCAGATGTGTTCATAACCCCTTCCTTTTCTTGGGGCAGTTTTTTTTATGAGTAACACACAATAGAGTTTGCTTGTGGTGATGGTGGTAATGAGATTTGGCAGAGCTGGCATAATACACTCATTTTATTGGGCCTATATGAAAGATCCTTCTCAAATTTTGAGGGAGAATATATGGCTATTTAAAATGAACCCAAATATGCTTCTTAAGTCTATTGTTTATGCAAATTGCTTTAATATTTGAGTATTGAAAAGAAGAACATACTCTTAGATGATTTGGGGAACATTTGGAAGTTGAAACTTTGATTTTATTGAAAGATGAAGACAACTAATGCCAGTATTCACTTTAACAATGAAAGGGTATGTAATTGTCTGTAGTTGAGCAGGGTTAGTATGGCCTCTGGTAACCATGTTCATCTTTCTGCAGATGGATATTTTTGGTGGCCTATGTTAGCTCTCTGCCACAATGGCAAAATATCTGAGAGAATAACCTTAAAAACGAGGATAGGTTTCTTTTGGTTGATGGCTTCAGAATTTCTGTCCATGTTTTTCTGTTTCTATTGTTATTAGTCCTATGGAATGACAGAAAATAATGGTGGGAGCACATTGAGGAAGAGGAGGAAAGTCTCTTGTGCTGTGGTAGCAAACAAGAGAAAGAGGACAGGGGTTGTGATTACAATCTTCCCTTAAAAAGCAAAGCTCCAATGATCTTCCTGTCTTCCACTTGGCCCCGCCTCCTAACAGAGCCACAAACTGGCAATTAACTCTGTAACCCATGAATGTTTCAAGTCCCTTATCCAAACCATAGCAACATCATGCCACAATAGCTACAAAGGCCAACTCAACTTATCATAATTTGGATGCATTTTTCCTTGTTGCATAGAAGCTGATCATAAAAATCTTCAATCATTGCCTGCCAATTTGGTCTGAATGCTGAAACTGAGTAAATCATATTTAGGCCCAATTATTTTGATAATTGGAATTAGATAAATTGTTAATATAAATAATTGTTGTTACAGTTCTAAAAATAGTTGATCTCAGAAGCTATGAAGACATTCTCATCTTACAAGCACATTAAGAAATAAGGAGCATGACTGAGCTGAAGATTGTTAACTTGGAGGGTGTGACTGATCTTAATTACCTTTTGTTCTGCATTTTCAACTTTCAGTAGTACAATTGACTAAACATATTTCCTAGGTAATTTTTCTAATTAAAGATTGCTCTTCTCAATGAAACTGGTTTCCTGATTATAGGAAACATTCAACTAACATTAAAATATTGGAAATATTTATAACATAATTGTCTGTTTACAGAGTTTCCTAGAATTTTTTTGTTAGATTATTTTAAGACTATGTCAGCCAAGCACTGCTGGCTCACACCTGTGCTCCTAGCTACTCAGGAGGCTGAGATGTAAGGATTAAGGATTGAAGCCTGCCTGGGTATGAAAGTCCATGAGACTGTGATCTTCAATTAACTACCAAAAAGCTGGAAGTGGATCACTGGCTCAACTGGTAGAGTATTAGCTTTGAGTACAAAAGCTCAGAGACAGCACTATTGCTGTACATACCCCAAAACCTGCACACACACACACACATACACGCACACACACACACAACACAACGCGCGCGCGCGCGCACACACACACACACACACACACACACAAGATTATGTCAAAATTCTCCCCATTTCTTTATCACAATCTCTGGTTATATGCCAGAGAAACAGCAGAACTCATCTAGAAACAAGTATTTATGACAAGTCACAAAATCCAGTATACTCTGGGGCAACACAGTCAATTTACAATCATCTGGAAAAGGCTGTGTAAAAGCATGAAATAAATGGTAAAATACTAGCAACTCTTCTTTTGTTGGCCCAAATGGATGTTAGACACAATAAAAGGAATCCTTCTCCCACAGCTATTCAATTTTACTTTCTTCAATCAAGTTGGCCAACTACTAACACACAGTGAGATCTGTTACATTCCATACAAGCCATCAGACTTGAAAGTCTACTATTGCCCCAAAAGTCATAGGAAAAAGTGAACCTAGCAATTTGTGATAAGGAAGGAGCATGTCCTTAGAGGAGGGAAGATCTATTGGCATCTTCCTCCACATAACAGCCTGTCAATCTAACTGTATCTAAACCAAGTATGGGAGGAGAGTAAGGACACTTTCTCTAAACTCACTCAGTCTGATTGAATTCCATGACCTATCCCATTTTGTCAGATAGGATTTTAAGAAAATAATCAGTTCAGCTTCAAGAAAGGCACTCCAAATTGCCATTTTTTTCAGGTTTTAAAATTTTTTATTTTTAATATTTTTAATAGACAATTTTAATAAATTGTACAAAGTAATTCCATTATTACTTTTCCATGCATGCATATATAGTACACTTTGATCAAATAACTTTTTACTTTTAAAAATCACCTTCCCACAGACATTTTGTAGCTTGGTTTCTCTAACTGTATAAAAACAGTCCATTTTTTAAAATAAACTTTTTATTGTGAAAATACTGTACAGAAGGGTTACAATTACATGAGCAAGGTAATGAATACATTTCTTATCAAGCATTGTTGCCTCCTCCTTTGTTTTTCCCAACCATCCCTGCCCTCCCATCTCCACGACTACACTCCCCACCCCCAGCCAAAGTTGTAAAGTTTGTTAAGAAATGCAAATCAATACAACATGGAGATACCACCTCACCCCAGTTAGAATGGCTATAATCAAGAACTCAAATGACAATAGATGCTGGAGGGGATATGGACAGAAGGGATTCCTACTGCAGTGTTGGTGGGAGTGTAAACTTGTTCAACCACTTTGGAAAATAGTATGGAGGCTCCTCAAAAGACTCCATATAGAGCTCCCCGGTGACCCACCAATCCCACTTTTGGGCATTTACCCAAATGATCACAAACAATGAGATATACAAGATGCTATGTTGAAAAACTGTCATTTGAGGGGCTGGGAAGGTGGCTCAGTGGTAAAGTGCTTGCCTCGCATGCATGTGGCCCTGGGTTCGATTCCTCAGCACCACATAAGCAGAAAAAGCCAGAAGTGGTGCTTTGGCTCAAGTGGTAGAGTGCTAGACTTGAGCTGAAGAGCTGAGGGACAGCACCCAAGCCTAGAGTTCAGGCCCCATGACTGGACAAAAAAACAAAAACAAAAACAGTCATTTGACAACTAGAGCAAGTCTTTTGATTGAATATTTTTCTTCTGTGTCATTTTCAGTTATCAGAATAGCTGAAATAGAAGAGATGTACAGGAGAAATATTGGAAAACCAATGAAAGATGGTGGACAGTGGGCAAGAGAAGGAAGAGCTCCAAATACAATAAAATGTATACATGGTACCTGTAAAGGTCATGTAATCAAATCCTATCAAGGCTCTGGTAGTAATGAACTACACTACTCAGCTTACTATCAAAGATGGAGAGTATATTTGAATCTATGTGTCCTCACATCTACTGTTTTATGTATAAACCAAAATCAGGCTTCAACAAATTACTATTCTTTATTTTAGTGGTTTATGAGTATATACATATTTATGTATATGTGTATATGTAAACATCTTATACACATACAGTAAATATATATTGAAAAAGAAATTGCAAAATTTTGTTATATATAATATGTACTATCCTCTATTTTACTTAGCATATGTGGATGTATAATTTAGATAAAATAAAATGTGTGAAATGTTGACTGTTCTTTATTCTTCTTTAATTATGCTATGATAATCAACATGAAAGATGCAAGAAATTACTCCTTAGTGTTGTATAATTACATAGCTAATCTAGTGAAGGATAACTGTCTAATGTGGCCTAACCCTTCTAAGATCAGCATGGTTGGAGAGACTCTGATGGTTTACAAGAAAATGTCTGAAATGGCCAAGGTGTGAACAATTAGAAGGGAAAAGAAGCCTAGTGAAGAAGGAAGGTTTTCTCCCAAGACTGGTCATTGTGAAATAGGGGGACAATAGCTAGCATTATGATCTCTAAGATATAGACACTGATCTAAGTACTGAGAGCAAGTTAGTAATCAGCTGAAGACTGAACACTCCGATGACATGATTTCAAATTCTCATTCCTTACCAGCCAGAGGAAAATAGGCATGGGAAAAAAATAAAGGGACACAGATGCATTCCAAAGATATGTTCCTATTTCTGAGTAGGTAGGTTGGATGGCCAAAACTGAGTCTGGTCCTCCCCCTCTACCAGGCCACATGCTGGGCAGTAATAGATATTCAACTCAAGGTATTTGTGATGTTTGGGATCAGAAATGTCCAGATACAAGTAGATCGAGAGCTACTTTTCAGTGGCTCATGTGTTGAAATCTTGATCCCCAATGCAGCAGTGTTGAGAAGCCAGGTACTCACGAGGTGATTTGATAATGATGGCTAATGATCTCCATTAATGGATTCAGACTGTGATGGTTTGGTGGGAGGGGATTTATTATGAAGATGAGCTTTCTTTCTCATTTCCTTGCTGTCGTAATCCAAAATAGTTTATTCCACCATGTGCTTCCATCATAAGGAGGCTGAAGCACAAACCTAAAAGCAGCTATGGGCCAAAACCTCTGAAATACTGGAACAAAACAAACCTGTCCTCCTTGAAGTTGATATCCCTCAGATATTTAATAATAAAAATCAAAAAATGATTGACATATCTAACACAGGGGAAAAGATATCAGATCATATCTTTGGGAAGAAAAATTGGATCTAAGGAAGAAATTCTTATCTTTACAACGGGAAAATCTGTAAGGAGGTGTCCTAGTCCTGACTTTTGTCTGTCATGGTCAGAGAAATAAAGGCACAAAGAGACAACCTTACCAGTGTGCTCTTCAAGTACTTTCCTGTGATCAAGAGGAGGTAGTGCAGGCTTATAATCCTAGTTACTCAGGAGGCTGAGAGCTTGTTCAGTCAGGGAAGTCTATGAGACTTTTATCTCCACTTAACCAGCAAAAAGCCAGAAGTGAAGCTGTGGTACAAGTGGCATAGCACCAGCCTTGAGCAAAAAAAGCTAAGGATAGAACTCAGGTCCTGAATTCAAGTCCCAGAACATGCATAAGAATATAAAAGAAAATAAAAATAATAACATACAATAAGAGAGGTCCACAATGGAAATGAAATTGAGTGTGAAAATTCATGGCTAAGTTGTCCTAATCATGAGTTTAGGAATTAAACTATCAGTGTCTTTTGTGAAAATAATATAAGGTCTCTCCAACGGAATGTAGCCTCTGCTATCGCATATTTGACAATATGTTGTGTTCCTGGACTTGACTTTGACCATGCTCCACAAATGAAGTAACCCTGTGCAGGTTTCTGAAAATCCTCTGCAGTCCAATGCATCCCACTAATAGGAGGAGGGCAGAGGGCAGAAGGAAAGAAGGCAAGGATACTTCTCTCTTCTCTTTGTTTCAGTGCCCCATCCATGCCAGGGAATTTTGTTTTTGTAACTCCGTTGCCTAAAAGATCACGCCCCCCTTCATGGCTCTAGCTCTCATAAACCTGGCAAAACCTACTGCTCCCATTGCCCTTCAGACCTAGGTATAGGAACAGCTAGCTATCCAGTTTGGTTTCCTTAGCCATGGCTACCTCTTTATTAAATGCTTTCGTTCCTTACTGTGACTGTCACCAATACACAAAGCAATTGGTTTGTAAAATCCCAAAGCTTCCTATCCACATTAGAATCACTTCATTGTTAGAGCCACATGTTTATTTAACAAATAATTAAGCACTTATTCATTTGATGTTTAGTAAGTTTTTCATGAACAAGGTAACTATTGCTCTCAGAGAGTTTGTAGTCTTGTTTAGAATGTAAGTTAGGAAGCTAGAGACCAGTAGCTCATGCCTCAATTCTAGCTACTTAGGAAGCTGAAATGAGAGATGAGAAAATGTATATATATCATAGCAACTTACAAATACTGACTCTCAGTCCATGTTATGATCTATATCCTTTCTTTCATGACACAACCATTGCTAAACTTATTTCTTAACAATGGCCAGAAGGCACAGACACCCACAATCACATAGACAATAAATGCACCCAAATGTATTTCTTATATTTTTTATATTCTTATAGTCTTATATTTCTTATACAAACTTTGTGCATGAAACAAAGTTTCATGGTATGAAACTTTCCACTTAGGTGCAAAATGGTTTGGATTTGGAAGTATTTTCAATCTCAGATTCTCTGATTATAGTGTTCTGTCTATATTACACATAAACTGTCAGTAATATTCTCTTTTTTGATAAGTAATGGTACTGGGATTTGAACTCTGGACCTCACACCACTCTACCATTTGAGTCATTCCTCCAACACTTTTTATTTCAGTTAGTTTTAAAATAAGGTATCAAGTTTTTGCATGGGCTGGCCTGAACCATAAAAAACCTATTTATAATTCTTCCACAGCTAGAATGGCAGGCATGTACCACTATACTCAGCTTTTATTGGTTGAAAACAATCTCTTTTATTTCTTGCCCAGACCGACCTTAAACTGTGATCCTCCCTACCCCACCTACTTAGTTTGGATTACTGATGTAAACCACTGTGCTGGCTAGTCAGAAATATTCTTAAACTTTCCTGAGCAAGAGTCATGTTATTCACCTGTCATGAGTCTGATAAATAGAGAGGGAAAGAAAATAAGGAGCAAAGGAGATAGAGGAGGGAGAAAGAGGGAAAGAAAGGATGTGGCAAGCTATCATCTAAAAGACTGGAGAAAAACACCTGTCAGCTCTCTTAATCTGCCTTTTAAATAAGAAAGGCTCAGACAAACTAACTTAAAGGTATTTATCAGCAATTTCTACTGTCTTAAGGGATAAATGTGGCTAGTTCATAGAACACCAGGTTGGTATACTGAATTAGGTTTGCATAATCTTGTGTATTTTTCTTTTCTGAAGGGCATACATTTTTTTTCACTAGTTCACAATTTTTTTTTTTTTTTGTCGGTTGTGGGGCTTGAACTCTGGGCCTGCGCGCTGTCCCTCAGCTCTTCAGCTCAAGGCGAGTGCTCTACCACTTGAGCTACAGCGCCACTTCCGGTTTTCTGGTGGTTTTATTGGAGATAGGAGTCTCACCGTCTCTCCTGCCTGGGCTGGCTTTGAACCGCAATCCTCAGATCTCAGCCTCCTGAGTAGCTAGGATTACAGGCGTGAGCCACCTGCGCCCGGCTAGTTCACATTTATTATACCTGCCTTCTCTTGCATTTGTAAAAAAAAGTCTTCAATATCTCCTTGTAAAAGTAGCAAAACTCATCAAAAAATGAACCATTTTTTTCCTTGAAATTTTGCATTATGAGAGTGTGCAATTAGGAACTTTATTACCATAGCTTTGTATATCCTCATCAAACATACATTAAGATTTTGTCTGAACTATGAAGCAACTTTTCATTCCTCTTTGTCAGTGTAAGTTTCCATTACATCTAAGTAGCTGCAGGATGGTTTGGCAGAAGGTAGTAAAGGAAGTATGGGCAATGTTTGATGTTCTCATTTAGCCCATGGGTGTTTATTTTCTATTGAACATGAATTAGAGAGAGGGGAGGGGAAGAAAGAGTAAATGATTCCAGGAATGAATAGTAAGCCACAAGCCTTTCCTTTGTATCTGCAGTTAAGCCCCTCACTTAGGAAGGCCAGACTCTATAACTACTTCTCAGTAATGTAATCATAATCTAGAAGTTTCCCCATGAAAATGATCCATTCTCCAAATGGCCACTTAGAAGAAAGAACACTAGACTTTAAGTTATATCATCTGAATTCTAGTCTCCATGACCACTACTTTATTTCTGTCCCATTTACTTTCCCAATTTCCTCACCTATCAAAAGAACACAAGAATAAAACATCCTGTGATGTTTTCAATGTCCTTTAGATTTTTCTGTAGATAGAGATTTCTATTGGTGTTCTGCCAAAAAAATTCCCTTTAGCATTTCTTATTGTGTGTCCCAGAAGCGCTATATACTTCACAAAAGCAAAGTGCTATTAAAGTACTTTGAAAACATTTATGGCTATACAAATTAGAAGCCTGTAATCCCAGAGCAAAATGATTCTAGTTGATTCCATTTGTCCTTATGGTCTTTGATTAGCTGAGCTATGGCTCACAGATTGGACCAGCAGGGTTATACCCACTGCATTCATGGAACCCATTTTTTGTCACTTTATGCAAAAAGAATTGAGGGAATACACATGGCTCAGAAAATTATTGGGAGTGCTTAAAAAACCAGGTTGCAGGCTGGATTTTCAGGTAAAGTTTCTCACATAGTACAGCCTACCTGGGCCACCAAAGTGACTTCTGCCTGTTCTATAGTCC